ACCTTTTCTTTATGTTTAAAATTTTTCGTGGCCGGGCACGGTGGCTCAAGCCTGTAATTCCAGCACTTTGGGAGGCCGAGGCGGGTAGATCACGAGGTCAAGAGATTGAGACCATCCTAGTCAACATGGTGAAACCCCGTCTCTACTAAAATACAAAAAAAAATTAGCTGGGCATAATGGCGCGTGCCTGTAGTCCCAGCTACTCAGGAGGCTGAGGCAGGAGAATTGCTTGAACCCAGGAGCCAGAAGTTGCGGTGAGCAGAGATCGAGCCACTGCATTCCAGCCTGGGTAACAAGAGCGAAACTCCATCTCAAAAAAAAAAAAAAAAAAAAAAAAAAATCACAATAAAATGTTGGGGGAAAAAGAAATGTAAAGTCATCACAGGAAAATATGAAAAACAAGGTACACTATAAGAAAAATAAAAGCACCATACAGACACAAAATCTATACCTGGAATCATATTATATATAATGTTTTGTAACTTGCTTTCACCTCTTACCATTATATAATTAGCAATTTTCTTGCTTTCTAAATGTTCTTCCAAATGGAAGAGAAATAAATTATATAACTGCAACATAATTTGAAACTTCCAATTCTTCACCATTACACATCTGAGAAGACTCGTATTATTATATCCTTCTTTCTGCGCATCTCTGATTATTTCCTTAGGATAAAGTCCCAGAAGTAAGATTTCTGGCCCAAAGACGTAAACATTTTAAGATTTTGGATACATCTTGCTAAACTCTTCTCCAGAAAGGTTTACCAATTTACATTTCTAATAGCAGTGTATCACAGATTCTAGCTAACCACAGACATGATTTTACATTTCAAATAAAATGCTTTCATAAATAAAATTTACGAAATAAAATGTGAACTTTTTCATATTTATGATATAAAATATGAAATAAAATAAATTTTATTTATGAAAGCATTTAATTTGAGATATAGCCACAATTTCTGCCCAAAAAAAGCAATATTCTTTTTTAAAAAAAATCTAAAGTAAACAATCCTATTACCCGAATCTTGGTTCCTAAATATCATACTCCAAAATCAGGTATATAACTCAGGGCTTCCTGAAAACATGACTGACTCCAGGAATGGGACAGGAACTAGATGAGCCTAGAATATCTTTTTCTGCCTGAAGAAAATCATCAAAAAAATGATGGTGACATATCAAAAGGACACAGGAGCCAGCTGGAAAGAGCTCTTACTTGCTAACTTTGGGATAATTTAAGCATGAAAATGAGTAACACTAATGGATTATAACATTCTGAATTTCAAAGTCTTCAGGTCTACAATCAAACAATAAAGACATGAATGGATAGATGAATAAGGAAGAAAGAAAAAAACAAGAAGGGCAAACTCACTTACGCTAGAACTTTTTACTTTCTGTATAGCAAACCATCATAGTACTATTTAACCCAAACAAGAATCATCAATGGATGCTAAAAACATTAGTGAATGTTTGCTGAGAAGATATTTACCTAGCTTCAAAGTTTCTACCCATAGCTTAATTATTAATTACAAAGGAAAAATAGGTATTTTCTTTTACTGTGGAGAAATTGGGTAAACCTCTTTTAACTAAGGGTTCAAAATTAATATCACCAATAATGAGACTGACATCACAAAATACCCATTAAGACACACCAAAGACACATGGCCTATGCAGTTTCCCTGCCAAAACTACATAAACTCTGACTAGGCTGGAGACTGGGGGAGGAAATCACATAAACCCCAAATGAGGAACATTCTACGAAACAATTGTCCTATACTCTTTCAAAATGTCTGCATCTTAAAAGACAGAAAAGACAGAGAAAATGTTCCAGATTAAGCCAGGCTAAACAGACATGTTGATTACATGCAATATATGATCCTGGATTGGATCCTCGGTTGGAAAAATTACCATCGAAAACTCTCATTGCAAAAGTTGGAAAAATGTGAATATAGACTGTGTAACAAGTTACATTATTGTTATCATTGTTAAATTTTCTGAATTTGTTAATTGTACTGTGGCTGTGTTTGGAAGATGCTAAAGTATCTAGGGATAAAGGTATATGGCATCTGTAATGTACTCTCACGGTTCAGCAAAAATCATACACTATATATGAATACATACAAATCAATAATATAGACAGAGAAAGCATATAATGCTACTAAATGATGAATTAGAGGAAGAATATAGTGTACTAGAGTTCATGGTACTGTTCTTGTAATTTTTCTCTAGGTTAAAAAAATTTTTTTAATAAAGTTATAAAGAGCTAAAGATTTTAAGTAGGCCGGGCACGGTGGCTCATGCCTGTAATCCCAGCACTTTGGGAGGCCGAAGTGGGCGGATCACGACGAGGTCAAGGGATCAAGACCATTCTTGATCCAACTATTCTTGGGATCAACTGGGTGAAACCCCATCTCTACTAAGTATACAAAAAAAATTAGCTGGGTGTGGTGGTGCGCCTGTGGTCCCAGCTACTCAGGAGGCTGAGATGGAAGAATCGCTTGAACCCAGGAGGCAGAGGTTGCAGTGAGCTGAGATTGCACCATTGCACTCCAGCCTGGCGACAGAGCAAGACTCCATCTCAAAAAAAAAAAAAAAAAGATTTTAAGTAAATACAGTCTTCCTTTTTTGTTTTTAAATAAAGTAATATTACACTCACTAAAACAGAGAAAAGTAATACATACTACACTGGAGGTCTACAAATAAAGTAAAAGTAAATAGTCTTCTTTTGTCCTCTCACATAAACAAAGTTAAAGAGTTTGGTATATATTTTCTCCACATTTCCCTAAGTTCATAAAACATATATTTAGTCTAATATTAAGTTGCTCTTAAAGAGTCACATGAAATGAGTTGCAAATGTTTTATTAAACGTTCCATTGCTCCTAAAACTCATTGGCAAAAAACAACCAACTGACATGGAACTGGATATATAAATTTGGAAAAAATTCAGGGCTTACTGCCTTTATCTTACCACTCAGAAAACACCTAGCTAGAAGCCACACACATTTCATAAAGCAGAACAATTATTTACATAAGAAATGTATATTTCCTTGCTAGTAACTGCCAACCCTTGCCATAACTCTTTACATCTTAAATCCATGCTGATCCAGTACAAATGGGGGTGCTTTGCCATAATTTGCTGTTTCTCTTTATCACTCACAATCACTGACTCAGCCCCAAAGCAGAAGTGGGGGTTTTGTTTTTCCTACTTGCAGGTTTATGAGTTGTGCTCTTGCAGTGTACTGGAATCAACTCAATTTCTGCATTATCTACATTCAGGTTAAATACCTGCAAAAAAGCAAGATCTGCAGTTTCCAATTCCTGCTTTCACTCCAGTACTTTTCCGGGTCACTTTCCGGGCTTTCCCAAGAACAGAAGAAAAGGTATTATGCACGTATGCTTGGGAAGGGGGTATTGGAGTAAATGGGTTACAATTCATATTTTCCTATCAAAATCTGTTTCGTGTCTCATAAAATATTTCTCACATCCAGTAATTGTGTAAGAACAAGTTCCTTATGCTAAAGTTGTGCAATCCAAAACTTTAAAATGTTAGCATATTTATAAATAACTCTGTAAATTGATGGAGCTGGTTTAGTTTTCGCTTCGTACCTGGTCAATTAGAGGTTTCAGAGTTAAAAACTAAAGAGCAGAGGGTTCTGGCCTCCTGTATTTCATTTGCCCCTCCTGAGGCAGCTTAATACATTTCTCAAAGCTCTATTTTCCAATGGATAAAATGGAGACAATAATGCTTCCGATAAAGGACTGCATGAATTGACCAGCTAAAAGGACTAGGTTCAGTCCAAGGTAAGACATGGATTTATTACTGGCTACCATTAAAAATTTTTGTTGATCAAGAAATGGGGGAAAGGGAAAGTAACTTTCTTATACCTACTCTTATTTCCTGCTCTTTCTGGATGGGCTTTAACAGCTCTTATTTCTTAATGCCTTCCAAAAACCCACCAATACTCCAAGGCAGAGATATCTTAGTCCTTCTGACCTGGCTTCAACAACTGGAAACACAGCTAGCTGATGATCACACAATTACACAGCACTGCTGGGAGCAAACCCACAAAGTACTACCATTTGGGTTTCCTTCTCTAATCAATTGCCACGAATCACTGGCAGCAGTTAACGAAAAAAATGAAATCATCCAGGGAGATTAAAGAATATTTATGGGAAAGTTCACTTGAAAAGATACTGAACAATAATTAGCCAAAAACAGGATGTAAACAGAAATGACCAAAACCAGCTCCAGAGGGTCGCTACTGAAGTAATCAATGCTGCTGAGTCCCTGCAGGTCAGCTCTGCAAGTAGTTTTATTCTCAAGGTACCAAACTGAATGTGACAACTATGTTGTATCTCATTCCTGAGAAAGATGAAAGGTCTCAGAGCTCTGAGCTCATCTAGGATGAGCACAAATCCTAGACTCTGAAAGCTAAGACCCTTTTCTGATTTTACCAGGAGAGCAGCTTTCTGTCTGGCTCCTATTAATTCTATAAAATACGAAGCCCACTATTAGCCTTAAGTAGAGGTGAAATCCAAGACACAGGTATTGCATATTTCACTTAAAAAAAATAGTGCTTTTTATCTTTTAAAACACAACTGCTGATGACCAGAAGTTCAAGCAGAGAAAATGGAATGGGTACGAAAACTTTACACATTACTCTTTACCGACCCCTCTCGTTGCCCAAGAGAAAAGCTTGAACCCTAGGAAGGTCTGAAATCTCACCTCTGCCTCCAGCAGAGCTCAGAGAACATTTGGTCTTTCATGCCCTGGAAAGAAATCCTCTTACTTCAGCTGACCCCTTGTAGAACTCACCCATAAAGCACACGCTGCAATAATTTCTATTTATGGGGCTCCCAGAATGGAAATTGGGAAACGGCCTCGTGGATCAGCCCCAAAGGCCTTGCTTGGTCCCTTGCAGCCCTGTGATCCTCTAACTCGAGGTTGAAAACGCTTACATAAGTGGTATCGTGACTGTTTCTGTCAGCAGGAAAAGACCTTACCTCTTTCTCTATTTTGAGGAGCTTCTTTACAGCCACCTCCTTGTCCTGTGATATCCATTTGGCTCGATAAACACTCCCGAAACTTCCTCCACCGCAATTCTCAAAAAACTGCAAGTCATCAAATTTAATTTGCACGAAGGAGGCACCGAGAGACGACATCTCATAATGACAAAGTATTATACTTCCACAAAATCTGCAGAAAGAAAGAAAAAGAAAAATTGAATTACAAATCTATTCAGCTAAATCCTTTGAATTCTACTTTAGATAATATATAACAAACGAGTCCGGTGAGACTTCCAGAAAGTCATGGTGACTTAGGAAGAAGAAAAGCAGGAGTATAAACAAATCGAAATGAAAACACTCACCCTGGCAGCCCACGCAAAACTCAACAGCAACCTGCCCAGACTTTGAAACACAGCTGTCCACAGAGAAATGGCTCAGATTTCCCCCAGACAAAACCTGCAGCACTTCCTACACGTCCCGAGGAGCTCTGCGGAAAGGCTACTGTGTCACCAGGTCTCCTATCAGGGAGCCCTGACGGACGGGAAGCATGCTTTCCATGGCAAGCTTGCATCGCTCAGCTGGCATCTGAGGCATGCCACCTCTCCACGCTGCACTCCCTTCACACGAAATATACACAACCTAAGCCAATGAGCATCCTGGCACAAGGACAGCCGCAGGGTTGCAAACGGAACACATACTCAAATGTTTAGACTCCAAAAACAAACTTTCAGCTTAGGGATGACAGAAAAGCTGGCAGTGTTTGCTCCCCGACTGCATACTGTAACAAAACTTAACTGAAGAGTAGAAAAATTTGTCCTTGATTACAATATATTAAGTCATCCAAAGAATACTGCCAAGGACGTTAAAAAATATTATGCTTGTTTCCAGAGAAACGTATTACCCCTCCCAGAGATTATTACAGTGATCTTTCCTAGGGTCTAAGGAGTTTTACTATTCTCCAGGTAAGTGGCCATTCTTAACACCCTATGCCAAACCACAGATTAGCAAGACTCACAAACACAAAAACTGGATGAAAATTGGGCTAAAATTTTGAACCTCCACAAAAAGTTTAAAAATGGTGGATAAAAAAAGTTTGCACACATATTCTTGCAAAAAGTGTAAACCAGAACCTTATAATGAGGGACTAAAAAGACAAATCTATATTTCTAGGACATTCTACAAAATTATCTGGCCTAGGCTCCTCATAATTGTGAATGTCATAAACTTTTGTTTGTTTGTTTGTTTGTTTTAAAGCAGAGAAACTTCTAGCATCAGGAAAACTTAAAGGACCACAATGACTAGGTTGAGCATGGTGGCTCACACCTGTAATCCCAGCACTTTGGGAGGCCAAGGCAGGTGAATCATTTGAAGTCAGGAGTTCGAGACTGGCCTGGCCAACATGGTGAAACCCTGTCTCTACTAAAAATACAAAAATTAGCTGGGTGTGGTGGTGGGCACCTGTAATTCCAGCTACTTGGGAAGCTGAGACAAGAGAATTGCCTGGACCCAGGAGGTAGAGGTTGCAGTGAGCTAAGATAGCACTGCTGTACTCCAGCATGGGTGACAGAGTGAGACTCCAGCTCAAAAAAAAAAAAAAAAAAAAAAAAGAAAGAAAAAGAAAAGAAACATGATGACTAAATGTAATTTATGATCACTGGATTCTGGGTTAAAAAAAACTATAGAAAATATTATTGATATATCAGGGAAATCTGCATATTTAACCATACATTAGATGATATTATTTTATCCATGGTAAATAATGGTATTTTTGTTTTATAGAAGGATGTCCTCAGATGTATTGCTTGGGAAATGCATTTTAAAGTGTGATGTCTATAATTTACTTTAAAATGGTTCAGTCCTCATCCCTGTCCCTGTCCGCCAAAACACACACCAAATAAAAAAAACAAAAACGCATGGATATATATATAGAGAGAAAGCAAGCAAGTATGGCAAAATGTTAAGAAGTGGCACGTCTAGGTGACAGGTATCTGGGCATTTTACTACTCTTTCCATTGTTCTGTGAGTTTTTTAAAAAATAAAAAGGTAGAAGAGGTTGGTTTGTGTCCATATAAACCGGCAACGTTTCTCCATAAACAGCTTGGGGCTTTGTTGAGTGATGTGCGCAGGCAGCTCAGAGATCTTAGCGTGCAGCTGGCTAGCCACCCCATTTCAGGAAAATCAGGTCACTGAGGAATGCCGATTTCTCTCATGAAGTCAAACACTGCTCTACTTTGAAGAGAAGGCAAGAAAGAGGAAGGGTTGTTTGTTCATTCTCTAAAGTTTAGAAGATATACTCCACATAAAAATATGAGTGGGGGTAACATTATAGTATCTAAATATAATCTATAAACATATGTGAATCAACAGTTTACCAACTTTTTCTGTAATTCCCATTTAATTAAACACGGAAAAGAACAAAATTTGGATAAAATTTAAGGATGTTGCCAAGGGTAGGTATATAAACATGCAATCTAAAAAGTTGGTTCAACCAAATGTCCAACATCATTTGCAAGATTCCCTCAGCATTAGAGATGCTAGGTTTAAATTTCTGTTAATTTTTTAATGAAAGCATTAAAATGAAATTGAACTACAAAGCTTATCATAAAAGAGAAGTTTCCTGCCTCCCCATACCCCACATCCAAGTCCCACTCTCCATACCCAACTAATTTCAATTCCTTTAGTATTTTCTTCTGGTACTGAACTCTATTTCTCAAAAATGTGCTTATATTCCTATTTCTTGATTTTCCATTTTAGATATTATCTACTAACTTCTGTGGAAGACAAGAGTTTAGTTCTCATATACCATTTTACAAACAAACATGGCATGCATACAAACATGGCACACTTGCCCAAACCTCCCAGCTTCCAACTGTACTGTAACACTTGGTTAAGTCAACAGTGTTCACAGTAATCTGACAAAGTAAATATTATTCCCAGCAGTGCCATCTAGAATTCAACAATTACATCTCCTTCCTTGGATAACTTTTTGATTCTGTTAGTTTCCCTGTGTTGTTGTTGTTTGCTTAGCTTGTTATACTCCTAACACATTCACCTCATTAAACTCTCCTAGGAGCTGCAAAACTCCTCTCAATAAAATTAAAACAAGTAATTTCCCTCCTTTTTTCACATTGGTTTTTTTTTTTTAGGGACGTCCCTTCTAGGCCCTTCATCCTGATTCAATCTGGCTGGAATGGTTACTCTCTAGGCCTGACTTGGACTGGGACTTCTGTTGGCTACCATCCTAAGAATTTCCTTCACCTTTTTGCTCTGTGAGAACCTTGTCTTTGGATTTCCTGTCTTCCCTTTCTTGGTTTATTCTCTTGTTTCAACAAGACATATCTCCCATTAGCTACCTGAATAGATCGCACAGAATATAATTTTTTGAGAATCTGTATAGCCTAAAATGCCTGACTGGTACCTGGTTGGGTATACAGTTCTAGGTAGGAAACAATTTCCCATATGATTTCGAAAGTATTACTTCATTTTTTCCCTAGTTTCTAATGTGGCTACCAAGCAGTCTGATGTTACTGATTATTAACCACTTTTATATTATTTGTTCCTCTCCAAAAGCTTTTAGGATCCTCTATTTATGCCAGAAATCCTGAATTTTAATAGGATATGTTTAGGAATGAGTCTTTTTCATTCATTGGTAGAACACTCAGTGAACTCTTTCAATCTGTAACTCATGTATTCTAATTCCAGGAAAGTTTCTTGCGTATTTATTTACCACTTACAGCCACTTTGACTTCACGTCATCTCATTTCCCATACTACATGAGGAACTGTCTACAGTTCCCAAAACACACTGACCTCTCACATCACACTTCTGCACAGGCTAGTGTCTCTGCTCCAAATACTTTTGTTTTCCCAGCAAATTCCTATCCCTGACCACCTCTTTGAGTCTCAGGAGCAGAGTTAAATTCTCCCTCTTCTGTACCACAGCACCTTTCTTTACCCATTTATCTTTCCCACTTAATTCCCACCAGACTCTAAATTCCCTAAAGTCAAACTCAGTTCTGTTTACATCTGGATCCTCAGCACCACTACACAGCCAGGTACACAGTGATGCAGCTTTTCCATTAAAAAAAAATTTGTTGATTAAGTGAGTAGTTTCTGGTTATTATTCGATTATACCTTTTGCAGCTGGAGAGATTTCAAGCAAGTTATGTAAAACATAAGGTATATAATTTTTACAAGTGCCCTAGGGGGTTCTGAACCAAATTCTGATCTGGAAACTTCTGCCTAGGCTTCTTGGGAGACTGAGGAGAGTGTATTTGAGACCTCCAGTACTCAGTCCCTCTGAATCCTGGCGTTAGGGAAGAAGGAGGAGTAGAGAAATCCTTTCCAAAACAAAGGCAGAGGTCTGAAGCAGGATGAGATCAATATGAATCCATCTAAGTCCTATGCTATAGAACAAGCCCAGGGAATAAGGATGAACTGAGGTAGGATCAGTCACATCTGACACTGACCTAAGGGTGCCAGAAGAAGGCTGAACTTTGAGATGCAGTCTTCTCCAGGATTTCACCCCTTGACAGGAGGCAACTAGTCAGGTTCGTCTCAGAATCACTGCTACTTTGCAATACACCCTGCCATAGGGGAACTGGCTATTTGTGAATGAAACTATACAATTACTTGTTTTATTGAAACCATAAAAAATTAAGTTCCATCTGAATACTGAAGAACCTAGTAATCTAGTATGTATGAGTACAGGTTTAACTCTAGTGAGCCTGGCAAAGTATCATGGATGTAGCTGAAAAATCTGGTTGAGATTTCCACTCCCATCTACATGGAAGTTAGACCATATATATAGTTTTTGTCTCCCTTGAGTTTTCTCTCTTTTAAGAATCGTTTTTCTAAGGGGATCAATTTATGACCAGAAGAATGAAAAATCTGAGTTGCTAATTATTTATACTTCGAGCCTGTTGGGGAAGACTACTACTTGACAAAATTATGTTCTAATTTTTCAAATGTATTTTCCACTGAATATGCCAGAATTTAATAAAAAGTCATCTATATATATTTATTTACATAGTATATCAAATCAAATCCAACGTTTTCATCTCACTGTATTAAAAGAATTGCTTTGGCCAGGTGTGGTGGCTCACGCCTGCAATCCCAGCACTTTGGGAGGCCAAGGTGGGTGGATCAATCTTGAGGTCAGGAGTTCAAGACCAGCCTGGCCAACATGGCA